AGTAAGGGATCCCAAAGGAGACAGCAACATGAGACTGGGCAGTGAGTAGGCCTTCTAGGAATTGTGAAGACTGATGTGGATGTGGTTGATGCACAGGGTGTTGATGTTGGAGGAGAAGTGGATAAGGCCATGGACCTCATAGCCCTTGTTGAGAAGGAACTCAGTAAGGTAGGAAACATCTTAGCCAGTTTTACCAGCGACCAAGGCTAATCTGCAGCTTTGTAGAGTTGTTGACATTGTGTCACTACCATCAATTATAGCAGATGCAGTTCCGGATTGGGACAAGTCATTTTCAGATGATGCAATTTTTCATTCTTGCTACTTATAAATTTATACTCCTAGTTTTCTCACTCTAATTTTTAGAGAGGTTCAGGTATATGCAGTCGAAGAGAATCACCTGATTGAATCATCCAAGACTCTGCCACCTACTGAATGGTAGAAAATGCACAAGAATCTAGCACGATATCAGAAACTTATAATGCATGCTTCTTTTTATTATAATAATACATGCTTGTGCTACTTTTAATATCTCCAAAGAGTTTATGAATCTTTTAAGAAACCTCTTCCAAAGGGATAACTTGAAGGCCTTTAGGGGCAGATGAGGTAATGAGCTCTATAGTAGGGATGCTTAGGGGTCCCAACTAAAAATCCCTGAAAATTGGATATTGTCTCCAACACTTTTTGCTCTTTATGTCATCCTTCCTCTAGTTCAAAAACTTATAATCCAGTTTTGTAGAGGGAGATGTAGCTCATAGGTTGGTATGAAGTCTAGGGACATGTAAAACAGAAGACAGAGTTATATAATTGGCCACTCTAACTGTCCCCTTCCCAACAATGGGCCTATGTGAACCATCTGCTGTAGAGACTCTGTCTCTACCAAAGCACAACTAATAGGAACTGAAAAAGGTAAGGGCATTAGTCATGTGCTCAGATTCTCCTGAGTCTATAATCCAGGGAGGTCCCTCCTTACTTGAAGTGGATGCAAAGTTTGCAGTTGCATATGAACTACCTGTATGTGCAAAGGAAGTGGTGTCCTTGGCTCCTGCATTCTGCTGTCCATCTGGAAGGTTAGAGCTAGGTGAATCTTTCTTACTCATAAGCTATCCAAATCTCTCCAATTCTATTCTCACTGCTGCTGCTGCAATGGATTCCCAATCAGTTTGGGAAAGAGGGGTCGAAGAGTCTCCTATAGTGGCTACATTTGCATTTCCCTTCTTATTCCTTATCCGAACAGGCATAAGATTTGGATGAAACTTCCAACAAGTGCCCCTGATATGCTTAGGCTTCTTGCAAGAATCACACACCAAGTCTTTCTTATCTTCCCTTCTAGTCTCACTACTCCCCCTATCTCCATTCAGCTTAGGTTTTGTTGTACCAACCATAGTCGACTGGTCAATCTCAAGCTGTCTCAGCATTACATTCCTCCTACTCTCCTCTCCAGAGACAAAAGCATAGGCCTGAGAGAGTGTCACACCCTCCCTAGAAAGAATATGCTACCTAGCAATGTCAAATTAAGGGTTCAACACTGCTAAGAACTCAAAAACCCTATTCCTCTCTACCAGTCTGTGATAAGTTGCTGCATCATTTACACTTTCCCATACCACAGTTTCCAAGTGGTCTATTTCCTGCCATAGGACTTTCAGCATGGAGAAATACACAGCAAGAGGTTTTTCTCCCTGTTTCACACTTATCACCTAATTTCTTAACTGATAGGCTCTAGCTTCATTTTGCTTCTGAGAGTAGGTTTCAGTCCCTCCATCCCAAATCTCCTTAGCAATATTAGCCCATAGGAATTTTTTTGCAATATGAGGTAACATAGAATTACACAGACAGGACATTACCATGTAATTCTCCTGCACCCATCGGGAAGAGTCTGTATCAGGTTTCTTCTCCTCCCTAGTGAGATACCATAATTTTCCACAGACACCAATAGCCATCTTAGTTGATTGTGCCCACTCCAAATAATTTGTACCATCAAGTTTTACTATAGTAATGATCTCAGACCCAAAAAAATCACTACTACCTCCAATACCCAGTCCCACAGTACCGGTAGATTTCATCTCAGTATTCCAACTCTCCATCTTACTTCAAACAGTTCAACAATAAGAAAAAGTAGATTAGAGACCTTCAAAAAATAATTTAATATCACACACACAGAAACCAACCCTTCCGGAAGAAAAAAACCCTAGCTAGAGAGAAATCTCTCTTCTCCCCACGCCTCCCAACAGAGAGAAGAGTGATTCGATCACTCCAAGAGGCTTAGAAAATTCCAAAAACCAAACTGCCCTCTTCGGAAAATCAAAAGAAAACTAACAATACTTGGGCGCCCAAGATCAGATCAAAAACAAAGCATCCAACTTTTCTGGGACTCTTCCCCATACTCTAATTCTTCCTGATTTTGATGTTGAGCAGTAGATCACCTTCCTGATGACTAGATCCCACCAAAAAATCCAAGAACTGGGCAATCTATAGCAGATCGATCAGCCCTTTCCTAGTTCATGCAGTCGGCTGATCTAGGGCTGCATGAGAATGCTTCAAGAAACCCTAGCCGATGCTCTAATACCAAGTAGAAATACGTTGAATAAAAAATATGAAAGAAAAGTAGTTTCTTGAAGAGAGAAGGAGAAGAAGAGAATAAGAGAAGTTGAAAAGAAAAGAGAGCAATAATCTGGCTGCCCCCTTCACTTATTATTTATACTAAAAATAATAGAACAGTACAAAGACAGCTATGCCCTTATAGGGTGGCAAAACATAAAACAGCATATATAACACTCAAAAACATAATAAAATTTGGACTCACATAACTACTATGATCCCCACCTCCTATCTAACAACTAACATAAAACATCTACTCAGAAAAACATCGTAAAACTGATTAATCTTCAACACAAGCTTGCACCATTCAGACTCAAAGTCATGTTCTCGCACTTGTCAGCCCAAGATTTTACAACCTTGAATTTTTGTTGATAAAAGGACACAAGATTATGTTTATTGCCTATAATAGAACCACCCATGTCTTTAATTATTCTCCACCCGGAATCAGAAGTATAGGTCTTTTCTTTACAAACTTAATTTCATCTATGGCTAGATTGACACTCCTGTGCCCGCTTGTCATGATATGCTTGTGCTACTCTTAATATGTCACTGGCATCAATCATCACTTTGACAAGCTCCAACACCACAGCCGTTACTTTTCTTCTTGCATTTTAAAGTCCAAGTTTGATAAGAAGGGAATATCCTAATAACTTCTTCGCATAGGAATGTCCAGTACTGCCACTGAATGTACATCACTCAGTCCAAATATACCCTTGATCAACTTCATCAATAAAAACACTTTTCTAACCCCATATTTCCAGGATCAAAACCCTCTATTGACCATAGGCATCCTCTTTCCATAGTCTTGTATCCTGTTGGAATTTTTCAATTCATTAATGTGACTCATCCCAGTATCTCTTATGTGATAAGAAAAACTATCAATTCATGCGGGCAGTTACAACCATTCACATTGTTGCTGCTAAAAACATCTTAAGATACCTCAAGTACACAATTACACATCATCAGTCTGTGTCTCCATCAAAAGCAATCTTTCATACTTGGCCTTCTGTGGTACTGATTGGGCTGGATGCCTCAATGGTTATTCTTCCTCCACCTTTGTTTTTGTATACTCATTTTCTAAATCTGCCTTTTGGCATTCTGAAGAGCATCTCATTGTTTCTAACTACAGAGCAAAGACCAAATTTTATGATATTGACTTTTACCCAACCCTTTTGCACTGCTTTATGATAATATTAGTTCAATTCACTTTGCTGCAACTCCCGCCTTTTGTGCTTGTCCAAACGCATTAAAATTGATTGTCATTTTGCTCACAAACAACTAGTCACATTGATTGCCATTGGCTTTGTTAATGGTATTGATCAACTCCCTGAGGTTTTCAGTAAATGTCACACATTGGTTTGTCTTTTACAGCTTCAGATCAACCTCTACAATCTTCATCCAGCACAATCAGCTTGCAGGGAGGATAAGAAACATAAATGTGATTTCATTTATTTGAATTTTGCACTGGTGCATATTTTCCAAATATGCATTGAAATTACTATGTGATGTCAATTGGCCTTTGTCGTAATTCCCTTAGGGTTTTGATAGTCAATGGAAACATTCTCTAAGTAAAGCTTTAAGAGTTATTCATAATTCACACAATTTAATACTAGATACCCTCTAAAATCTTGCTGATCAAAAAGAGATATTAAAGCATGTATTTACCTATCAAACATGTCCTACAAGGAGACACCTAATGCTGAGTTTGGGTAAATAGTATCTTACACATTGCTGCAACCATGAAAGTTTTAACAACTGATTTTACAAGTAGGACCAAATTATTTTTTGAAAACTCYCATCTGTGAGGATAGGTGGCACAGACTGTGATGTGCCAAGCGTTGGCAGTTACTAGCAAATCCGGACTCCATTCTAATGTCTAGCGACCTTAATTCTGTTTAGTTGAATAGTTCGATATGAATTATTTAAGGGGGTATTCTCCAATATGTATGATTTTGCTTTTCCAAAATAAAAGCAGCTGCACAGTTCTTTTTGTTTTGAAAAACAAAATCATACATATTGGTGAACAACCCCCCCCCCCCACTAAAATAAGAAAAAGAAAAAAACGTCCTGAAACGTTTCTGGTTAACTTCACCGCAACCACAATCCAGTTACTTTTACTGAGCAAACACTATTCCTTCTCTGCCCTCCAAAATACAGAAACTGTGGTCACCAGAAACAAATTGTTCATTAAGCAGCCATATATCATACTGAGACGTGAACAAGAACCACGACTAGTCTAACGTTCAACTAGCTCTAAAGTCTAAAATCGAATTAGAGAATTTTCAACTATCAAACTAATTGAATAAACTAAAGACTCACTCCCCAAGTTCAAGAATTGATAAAAACATGAAAATAATAACTCGTTTCGACCAATTTCATGAAACGGAGAAGCAACAACCACCAACCTGAGGAAGAACTCCCTCTGTTAGATAAAGAACTGCCCACTGCCTCTCTGCTTCCCAATTCACGGCCACTGCCGCCTTCAACAATTTCCACTCCATGTCCAATAGAGACCTCACCTGAAGAACTATCAGAAGAACTCCCAGGATGCTCCCCCGATTCCTCCATCCTCGCTACCGCCAATTGGCTCTCAGCTTTGAAATAATCGATGCAACCTCCCAGAAATATGGTAAACAGACTGAAAGAAGCAAAGTTGCTCCACTTACCTATTCCTTTTTGTAGTATAACCAAAATTAAAACCCTACAAACAAGATTTACGTGGCGGATTTTTGGAAGTTGGGTGGCCGGAAATGCAGTTGTTGGGATCGTACTTGAACGTGGARGGTGGTCCGGTCGGTTCAAGTATGACGGTTGCCAGGTGGCCCACAGGTCAGTGGGGAACGGATCGAATGTAGGGATGATTTCTATATATGTATATGTAAGTTATAAAAAAGTTAAATTGGATAATATATAAATATTAATATATTAAGCTTCGTTTGATTTATAGTTAAAATTAGAATTTAAATCTGAAATTTAAACTTTTTTGTCTTAGACAGGAGGGAATGGCCATTCCGTCAAATGGAAGAATTTATATCAATATTTTACATTTTTTGGTAATCATATAGATATATAATATTTGGTTATATGATATTATATTTTATAAAATATATCAATATATTAATATTTATATATAATATGTATGGCATGTATAAATTACATATATGTATTTTACCATATAAATGGCATGTATATATAATACAATATATTATACATAAAAAATTCTATATATGTTATTTGTAATTTTGATTATAAAGTTAAACTAAAATTTTATTTTTTCAAATATAAATAGTATTTAATACATATAAGCCAGCCTAGATGTCTAAGCTAGCCCAACTCATGATTGGGCTTAGACATGTATTATTAGGCCTGAGGTTTGGGCCAATCCGGGCCCGAGCAGGCCTCAAGGCCAATAATACCCTATAACAACCAGGCATGGTCTGGCCCACGATTATCCCTAAATCAACATTAACTAAAATCTAAAAATGACATTGTTACCATATTTTATGAATAAAATTAGTTGAAAATTAATTATATGAAACTTGAACTTGTGAAAATTAGTAAAAACACAATAATAAAATTCAATCAACTTTACTAATAGGTACAATATTTAAGCACATACGAGTATATATATATATATATATATCACATTATATTAGATTGAATAGGTGTTCATCCACATTCAATCTAAATTACAAAAGGGGTGAATTTGAGTCACCCTTAAATGGGATCAAATGTGAATTCGGATTTAGAAAATCAAATACTCGTTGTGCCCTTGTAGGTTAGCATGTGCGTTCTTTAAAACAAACTAGGAAATGTGAACATACCGGCAATTTTAGTAGATGATGATGAAAATTGTAATAATAGTAATAATGTATGTTCAGATATTTTTATAATTATTTCTATATATATATATATAAAATGATTCTTACTTATCATATTTATTTTTGTTTAATATGATGAATATGTAATATTAGGGATGTGTTCAAATTCTTTTTTACAAAATTTATTTTCTTTGTAGTTTTCTGTGTTAAAAGACTTAAAAATCCCCTGAGATTTAAGATAAATAATTATACCCCCTCTAATTTTTTACAGTACTTAAACATCCCCTATCAAAACAAGACACTGTTATATATGATAGAATCAATTAAAAGACCTTTTTGCCCTTTATTATATTTTAAATTTTCAAATAAAAGCCATTTTCAAATTAAACACCTTTTTATTACAAATTGTAAGGAAATAGTGAAATACATGAATAGTGTAGGCCATAAGTGTGATAAATAATAATTATTTCTATTAATTAATAATGAAAGTGTAATGCAAATTTAAAATTGACCAAAAAAATGAAATTGTTTTCCTATTTGGTAGTAGATCAACGGTTCAATTTTTAGGTTAAAATGTGTCAATCTTGATGTCATAATTAAATAATTAAAACAAAAAAAATGTAAAAACACAAAGTTTGAAAACAGACATAAATTTTGTAGAAAACATTTAGAAACATCTTTAAATTTGCATTATGAAAATTTGACATTTGCTACATCGGTGAACCATTTCTCCCAATGACATTGACGTGGAGCTGATTTGTACCAAACAGATTGCACACACAAGAAAAATGATTATGAAAATCACCTTAGCAAATAGCAAAAAAGGTGAAAACGTTGCTTTACTGCCTACCTAGCAAAAATAGAAACAGTAGCAAACATATTAAAATGGCAAGGCCCAAAAATGGTAACATGGGCTTTTTTTTTGAAAATCAGGCCCAAAAAACACCCGCGTTATCAAAAACCAACATAGAAAGAAGTCTATATGGAATTGCCTCCAGTGGTGAACTTCCATAACAGTGAAGGGAAAGTTTGTCGTCTAAAGAAGGCTTTGTATGACCTTAAACAATCTCCTAAAACTTGATTTGATAGATTTAAAATGGCTATTTTGAAGGTYGGATTTTCACAATCTCAAGSTGATCATACTTTATTCATAAGAAGAGTCAATGATCGTGTGACTATGAGGGGTGATCATGGGTTGGGCCAAGTTTAACACTAATGATAAGTGCTTTAACCTAGGCCCCGACCCGACCCAACCCGCACCTCGGGCCTAGTTTTCAAGCCCAAGCCTGGCCTTACACGAGCCCTGGCCAGGCTTACGAGTTTTCCAGGCTTAATGAGAAATGAGTTTAGGCCTTTGACATCCAATAATAAAAATTTAATTATTTAAAATTTTATCTTAAATTAAATAAAATATAATACATGTAAAAAAATACAGAACAAACCCAAGGTAAGTTGGGCTTGGCTAAACTTTGGGCCTATACACAAAAAAAAAGTGTGGGCCTTATTTACTTCTTATAGTTGCTTTTGCTTGGCTTACCTATCCTTTTATTGATGAAGGCAAGACCTCCATTCCCATTCTTGAGCAATGTGAGACTTGGAATAACACTAAATACTAAGTGCTACCATTAAGTATTTTTCCAAGTTCCACATTGCTTACACAATGAGAATGAAGGCCTTGCCTTCATTTGTACAAGGCCTTGCCTATGAGGACAATTTACATGCTTGGGTTGGCTTAAGTGTTTACACATGTCAACTAATTAATATTTATTTATATGCTAAAACTTAAAATTTTTATATCTTGTATAAAATAATAAACAATTAGTATAAAATGAACATATATAATATAATGCTATAATGTATATTTAAAAATAAATATATTATATTATATTGCGGGTTGGGTTGGGCTTGAAGTATTAGGCCTAAGCCCGACCCGATATTTCCAAGCTTGATGTGGGCCTGGGCAGGGCCGGACCAAGAATGATTAGCCCTAAACTATGTTAATTGCATATGTTGATGATATTATTGTTACTGGGGACGATGGGGACGATGTCCTAGAAATCAATAAGTTGAAATCCTTCATTTCTTTTAAATTTGAAATTAAGGATCTTGGTGATCTCAAGTATTTTCTTGGGATTGAAGTTGCAAGATCGGAAAAGAAATTTTCATTTCTTAGAGAAAATATGTTCTAGACTTACTCCATGAGGTTGGAAAATTTGGGTGCAAGCTTACTAAAACCCCAATTAATTCTAATCACAAGTTAAGTGCTACTGTTGGAGATATTCTCCCATACACTTATCAAAGATTAGTTAGTCAGRTCCTTTACCTCTAGTTGACTAGATCTGACATATCCTATGTAGTTGGTGTGGTAAGCCAATATATGTCTAAGCCAAGGACCTCTCACATGCAAGATGTCAATAGAATTCTTGTATATTTGAAGGGATGTCATGGCAAAGGGATGATATATTTCGACCATGGACATTTGAAGGTTAAGGCTTGTACAGATGCAAACTGGACAGGATTTGTTAATGACAAGAGATCTATAATTAGCTATTGTACTTTAATAGAAGGCAATGTAGTTTCGTGGAGAAGCAAGAAACAATCAATTATTGTTCATTCTAGTGCAGAGGTAAAGTATAGGGCAATGACATATAGAGTGTCTAAGTTGCTTTGGTAAAATAACTTATTGGCATAATAGGAATTCAATAGATACACCAATGAGACTTTACTATGACAACCAAGCAGCTATAAACATTGTTCTTAATCTTGTACAATATGACCGATTGATTGTATAAAGCATATTGAACCAATATGACATTTCATTAGAGAAAAGATAGCCAGTGGAGAAATTTGCCTACCCTTTGTGAGATTAGGAAAACAACTTGTTGATTGTCTAACCAAAGGAGTGCACAAAATAAAGTTTGACAATAATTTAGGCAGTTGGGCATGATAGACATCTATGCTTGGCTTGAAGGAAAGTGTTGTGAATACATTGTAACGGCTTTTTTGTCTTTATTCTCCTCTTGTATTTGGGCATCCAAATAAGGGAATTATTGTAATTGTGTTCTCATATTAGAAATATTTTGTTTGTGGGTGTAAATAGTGATGAAGGGCAATTTGATCCTCTAGTGACATCGTGACATGTGGCACCCTTGAACCGACACATGACACCTCAGTGCCACGTAGGCAATGACCTCGGATACACCTTATGCACGCTGTAAGAGAGTTTTGACACCACCTCGACAGGGCCGATTTGTAGGCACCTTGGCATAAGGCCCAGTTGGCGACCTGCATGACGTGGTGGCCGACCTCCTTTACATGTGAGCAATTATCTCCGAGTCCTCTGGGATCATGTTGCCTCATCGACGAAGCTAACTCCCCACCCTGCCCGCTTCGGAGGCAACTAGATAAGTTCTATCACTTTATGCAAAAGCTGTCTTCAAGCGTGAAACCATCTCCGGGCAAGGCAAACCAGTAAGCCACGTCCACCTGGAGATCTCGGATGCGCTATGTTAAGTCCATGGCGACTTGTACCTATATAAAGGCATCCCATTGATCAGAAAAGGTACGCGTGATTTAGCTATTCTAGCTCTCTTGCTTTCTCACTTTCTAGCTCTCAATACACTCTTCGCTGACCAAAGCATTGGAGTGCCCCCCCCGGTACTCTAACTATCTCTTGTAGCTCGACCAATCGACCTCATTAGCCCGATGCCTAAGCTGTCTTCTAGCAAGGAGCTACCAAATCGCGCACCATCAAATAGTATTCAACACACCACATTCAAACAAACATTCTTCTTCTTCTTCTTCTTCTTCTTCCATTCTTACAAGTACTTAAAATCCTTCATTGTTTTTGAATTCAAGATTAAGGATCTTGGTGGTTTCAAATATTTTTTTGGAATTGAAGTTAAAAGATCAGAGAAATGATCTTTATTTCATAGAGAAAACATGTTTTTGATTTGCTCCAAGTAGTTGGAAAATTAGGGTGTAAGCCACTTGAAAATCCAATAACCCTAACTTTAAGGTTAGTGCTACTAATGAAGATGTTCTTCTAGATAGAGGGGTCTATCAAAGATTGACTTTTTTATTTTGTCTAACTATACTTGACATATTTTATGCAGTGGCTATGATGAGCCAATATTTGCATCAATCCAAAACTTCTCACATGTAGGCTATTAATAGGACTAATATTGTTTATTTGAAAGGATGCCTTGGTAAGGGAATATTATACTCCAATCATACATCTAAAGATTGAAGCCTACATAAATGCACATTGAGTAAGGTTAGTTGGTGATAAAGAGATCTACATCTAACTATCGTGCTCTAATTGGTGGCAATGTAATATCATAAAGAAGCAAATAGTCAGTTGTTGCATGTTCTAGTGTAGAGATAGAGTATAGGGCAATGGCTCATGATGTGTTTGATTTACTATGGTTGAAGACCTTGTTAATGGAGATAGGCATTCAAGCTAATAGCCCAATGAGACTCTACTATGACAACCATGAATTTATAAACAGTATCCATATCCTTGTTTAACGTGACCATAAACATATTGAAGTGGATACATTCATTAGAGAGAAAATAGCTAGTGGGGAGATATGAGGCAGAGAATAGGGCAATGACTCATGATGTGTTTGATTTACTATGGTTAAGACCTTGCTAATGGAGACAGGAATTCAAGCTAATGCCCCAATCAAACTCTATTGTGACAACCATGCATCTATCAACATTATCCATAACCTTGTTTAACGTGACCATACAAAACATATTGAAGTAGATAGACATTTTGATAGAGAGAAGATAGATAATAAGGAGATATACATACCCTTTGTGAGATCAAAAGATCAAGTGGCTAATTGTTTCACTAAAGGAGYTCACAAGCCAAAGTTTGATAAAAATCTAGGCGAACTGGGCTTGATAGACATCTATCTTAGCTTGAGGAGTGTTGAGAATATGTTTGTAAGGGCTGTTTAGACTTTTTTATCATTTTGTATTTGGGCGCCCACTTAAGGGCTTATTGTAATTTATAAACATATCTTTATGAGGGTGTGAACAGTTGCTGGGGCTTATTGTATTTGGGCGCCCACTTAAGGGCTTATTGTAATTTATAAACATATCTTAAGGGCTTATTGCACACCTCTCGAATCATGACTATCTTCCCTCCTCCTCCTCCTCCTCCTTCTTCTTCTTCTTCTCATCTTACAACTATTTTGAAAGGATGTGAATAGTAGCATGCTATTAGTGTGTTTTCTTAAGAATCGATTCTAATTGGAAGCGAACTTTTTTCATTTATAAGAATTTAGTTGTTAAACTATATTTTATTAATGAATTATGCTGTAAAATGGCTATCCAAACATCATTACAGTCCTGAGAAACAAAAGAATAATGAGAAATGACTTTTTAGAGTGATGCCAAACAGGGAAGGAATCATGAGAAATTATTTTCTAGAGTAATGCAAAATGGGACCTAATATGTTGAATGTTTGATTCATCTGTTCCCAGCTACAAAGCCTAAGTAGATTAGGGAATTGATGAAGGTAGATGGGCTTATAAAAGATGAAGTCAAAAGCCATTTAAAGTTTGTATCATTATCTATGAATTCTAGATTAAACATGAATCTTCTAATTAACATTTCTTATCAGAAGCACAGCCTGAAGAATTGAAAAATGTTTTGATACTCTAACTTCTAATGGAATAGGAGAATCAAAGCTTTTGCCAGGATATATTACCATAAATCGATACCGAGGAGCTTGACTGTCTTTACTACTAATGGTGTCGATGGATCCAATGATTAAACACTTTCTCTCATTAGTAGCTAGTTTAATCCTGATGTCTCTTAAAGTGACAAATAAGAGAAAGAAGAATAAGAAATTAGGGGCAGAATTGAATTCTTTATAAATATAAGATGCCTAAAACGAGTTTTGATGGGCTCCCCACACTCAATCCCCTATTCGCAGTTCATGGGAGGGATGGACTGGGGGACACCTATGGGGCGTGCTCCACGGGGAGTCCAACTCGTCTCGCCCAAAACATTAATCACAGAGTGCCTATTTTGTGTCAAGTGGAATCACTTCACATGGTATTCTTAACTAATTTTAGATACTATAGGTATATAGGTAATTAAAACAAGTATGTCACATGGGAACTGAAGGAGGAGGAATAATGTAGAGGGTGTTTGAAACCCTTGGCATTTATTCAGTAAATGCTGCTACATAGGTGCCATTTTAGCAGTTTTTCTTTTCTGTTTTTTTCGTATGTATCGAGAATAGCAAAAGCTGATTTTAATTTCTATACACTTATCATTTGAGAAAGTTATTTTTTAAAGCATTTTTTCAATGTTATAATGATGTGATACCTAGTGGCGTCTTATTGTCACAAACAGTTGTAAATAAATAAACTACAAACATTAAATGAAAAAATGTAAATGAACCAAACACAGCACTGCCCACTTGGCTTATTTGCCCTCCATCACATTCATCCAATCTTGATTCGCTTTTTCATACGGCATGCGCAGGGCTAAAGGCTAAAACCGAGAATCATGTTCTGATTGAGTGACGAGGAAGATGTTTCACCTTTCACGTGCGACTGCAGTTGACTGTTAAAGGCACAGTTGGGAGCGTCGTGTTGGTTATCCCCACCCATTGCCATTGCTGTGGACGTCCATTCATCTAATTCTAGGTGGGGCCATGACAATTCATCAAAGTTTTGATTTCGTTGTTTTTATTCGGCGTTACGACATTATTGTAGCAAAATTGGTTTGTTCGATCATATTTTTTTTGCTTCCATGGTATAGGTGCTTCCGCGTTGGATCTTTACTTAAACGTCACCAAAACGAAACCACAATTACAATTTACACGTGACCTCAGCTTCCAACTTTTAACTCCCCTCTCTCTCTCTCTCTCTCTCTCTCTCTCTATCTAGTACTACATTGTTTTATTAATGCTCTAACTGCCATTAAAGAGCTATCTCCCTGCCTCTCTCTTTCTCTCGGCAACAGATTTGCGAAAGAGACCAAGATGCAGTACAAAAACCTGGGCCGATCTGGTCTGAAAGTGAGTCAGCTTTCCTACGGAGCATGGGTGAGCTTCGGAAACCAAGTCGATGCCAAGGAGGCCAAGTCCCTGCTCCAATGCTGCCGAGACCACGGCGTCAACTTCTTCGACAACGCTGAGGTCTACGCCAATGGCCGTGCCGAGGAGATCATGGGCCAAGCCATCCGAGAGCTGGGCTGGAAGCGGTCGGATATCGTGGTATCCACCAAGATCTTCTGGGGTGGTCCAGGTCCTAATGATAAGGGATTGTCTCGTAAGCACATAATTGAGGGAACTAAAGCTTCCTTGAAGCGTCTCGAAATGGATTACGTTGATGTCATATATTGTCACCGGCCGGATATTTCGACTCCGATTGAGGAGACGGTCAGGGCTATGAATTATGTGATCGATCATGGATGGGCGTTCTACTGGGGTACTAGTGAGTGGTCAGCTCAACAGATCACTGAGGCTTGGGCTGTTGCTGAAAGGTTGGATCTTATTGGCCCAATTGTTGAGCAGCCGGAGTATAACCTATTTTCTCGGCACAAGGTGATACAAATTCAAGTATTCTTTTTATTTTTACTTTTTGAACTTCTTGATTACTTACTCCCATTTAAATGAGATAGTTGTGATCCTCACTGTATAGCATGTCCACAAATTCTATGACCCATTGTCAATGTCCATGAAGCATTGACACTGTCAATCTGTTTCTCAATTACAAGGAAACTTGGGCTTCTTCTTTAACATAAGTCTAAATAGAAGTTGACTAATATTAGAAGACTTAATACGAGCTTGTTCTCTTTATCATAGTGGTTGAATGAAAAGATAAATCTTGTTGGTTCGTTTTGTAACTTATGTATCATATCTTATTAGTTTATTTTGTAACCAATGTACCAGTGATACTTCAGAGGTCTGGGTAGATTCTATACCAACTAAGTCAGCCATTTGATTTTCATATTGTTAATAGTTAGACAACTGATGTGTTTTAGGAAAAGAAAATTTTGAGAGATATTGTTCATTTTCTTTCATCTTCTGATCAATGTATTGATCAAATTTAGAGGTATATATGTACTTAACCACTTCTATTTTCATATGCTTTTATTAATATCTCTAGTGGTTCTTATCAGAACTGCAATAGATATATTAACTACGAAATAATGATTGTCACAACTGATAATACGGGACTATGAAGATGCATTTTTCTAATATCTCTAGTGGTTTTTACCAGAACTGATAATACACATTTTCATATGCTTTGATGCTTTTATGTTAATACTTAATATCTCTAGTGGGAAGCATGTACAATTCTGATAATAACCACGAAGTAAAGATTTCACTTGAGAAAGACACGCTTTGTATAAATGGTTAACAAATAATATGAATCTGTTTATACAATGGGTGGGGAGAGATGCCAATGCATTGGTGATTGTTTAGTTAAGCAGGGGGCACATAGGGGTCAGTTTTACTGGGCTCAGTTGTAATTGTTTGATATAATTTTCTTTTAGGGTGAGGCTTCACTTCATGCCTCTCCCTGGAATGCTTGTAACAAAATTTATCTTTACTGATATCAATGAATTTTCACTTATAAAAAAAGGCACACCATGTATAACATAAAAGCATCATAAAATTCATATTATCTCATCATCATCCAAGCCTTATCTCAACTATATGGGCCGGAGCATATTATCTCATTGACAAAATTAAAAAAGTACTTTGAATTTAGTGTCTCACTTAAGAAAGCTATGGGGATGAAAATAGAACTGGTTCAATGTTTGTAAGTCCCAAGTTATTGACAACAGCATTACCTAAAAAAGTTATTAACAATACATAGACAACATAAATGATATGACCTAAATCATATATGTGCAAATGTTCACAGACACCATGAATTCACAGCTAGAATTGGCAAATATACTGGCAAAAAGCAATATTTATTAGGTTCTAATTTCAGCATGCCCCATTTTTGGTGAACTTCTCTCTTCCCTAACTATTAGTTAAAAAAATCCTGTTATAAAAGATAAAGTTGCCTGGTGTATTAACTTTTATCATTTCAAGTGTCTTTATCATCTTTTCACTTGGGATGTGCCTGATTCTTAATGATTAGATGTACCCAAATCAGTCTCATCATGCAACATACTGCTCACATATAACTTACCTGGACCAACTGACCAAGATTAACTGGGTTTGTCTGGCCCAACACAACCAAGATGATGGGTTCATATTGGTCTATACTGTGGCATAAAAACATATACTCAGTCCATTCCAAAAAYTGGGCTGGGGTGCTGGGTCAGAGCTCTGTACTACCTATTGCAACCCCAATACCTTATGTTGCACATGCATAGGTCGGTGTGATTGATGTCCAAATTCCACACTCATAATCAATCTGTGACTGTCTTAATTCTGATGAAGTAGGTTGGTGGTGTCTATACACCTCCATTGTTGTGTTTTCAGATACATAGAACACATATGGTAATTGAGATCTAGGCATTGGTAAGGTAATATGGGAAAGAAAATAGAGTAAAACATGGAAAGAGTAGAATGGTGGAACTAATTTACTCATATGCATGCATGTCTGTGTGTATGTATACATGCATGTATGTATACACACATCTTCTAAGTTGTGAATAAAAGTAACTTTTCTTGATAGACTTCTTATCATTAAATGTTAGATATGACTTTAGGTTTTCTGTGTTGGTGCAGGTTGAATCTGAGTACCTACCTCTTTACAGCAACTACGGTCTAGGTCTTACTACATGGAGTCCACTTGCTTCAGGGGTTCTTACTGGAAAATATAGCAAGGGAGTAATTCCGTCTGATAGTCGATTTGCAATAGAGAACTATAAGGTAAATGTGCACTTTTAGATTTACAAAATGCATGCATTTTTCACTGTTACTTCGTAGCCTCATTATTATTTGGTTTCCAAGAAATAAAGATACATGTCTTCTTTGGTATTACAAAGTCAAAAATGGATATGGAGACACGTTAATAGCACAAATTTATTCAGTGTATTCATATGYTGCTGGTTATAATTTGGAATTGTTTCATGTGAAACAAATAAAATATAGGAATGGATTTAGATAAGTTTTTATGCATGGAAATTGTAGAATGGTTTATTAGCTCAATAGAAGTATTGAATATTTTTGACATGTGAGTATGACATGGGCCAGATGAAACTTGGGAAAATGCTGCATAGTTTGTTTATGATCTTGGTGTTCTAGTTTTTCTTCTCAGTTCTTGAAATTTCTTTTCTTTTCTTCGTTTCAGAAAGTTGTGGCATAAATCTGATCATGCATTCAAATGACTATGCTCTTGTTGGTGGGCACACAAATTCAAGTGAATATTATGATTTGAAGATTCACCGTATTAGYATGATGATCACCTTTATTAATTTTTTTTATTAGATTACATGAAAAGAATGGTATACAATATATTCTGCAAACCATAGCTTTGATTGACTAGCCCTAGCTATTCCTTTTTGCATTCTATTTACAGAATCCCTCCTTGGAGGATTAAACCCCAGTACATTTGGCTTCTGGGTGCTCCCCTTTTAGCTAACCATCAGCCAAGTAATTTGCTGATCTCATTGTCCACTGTCCAATTGTATAGTTCTATCCATCTTTTGGCCAGTCTCTTGTGAGCCACCCCGGAATTATTCAAATCCTCTTCCCACCACAATGTCCGTAAAGTTTTAAGATTTAGCCCATCTCAGCTCATAATAAGCTGCAAGTATTTATGCTTGAATTAACTCCTCATGGCCAATGGGTCCAGAAAATAGAGTTAATATATTAACATCAGCATCTCTGAGTCACATTTCTTAATTCTGAGATGGGTTCTGGATTCACTCGATTGCCAGACAGGTAAAGAATTGTTTGATTCAGTAAGTTTCTTCTATTAATCTTTTGTTATTTGAATCTTTTAGGGTGATGGATATTCTAAGTCAAAATATAACCATTTTCTCATTATTAATTACTCAAGTTCAGGTGGACTTTAACCTATTATTCCAAGTGCCTTCCAAACAAGTCAAATCTAAATATTCTTTTTAATGATTGATGCACTATGCTGAGAGTGGGACTCTATTCTCTTCTTTTCCTTTTCTTTATGGGGTTTATCATCATTTTTATTGTCTGTCAACAGACCCAGAGCAGAATACAAAATTCTAGGATGAAGAATGGATGCTTTGACCCTACCCCAAAGGTCCTTTATATAGAAAGTGAAAGTTACAGAAATTACAAAGAGGCCCTTCTAGGGCAACACAATTTAGAGAATTTACAAGGAGGCCCTTGCAGGGCTGAAGTAAAAATAATAATAAATAAGAAAACAATACAATAAGGACTACAATAAAACGGTACATCAGGGAGTTTCTTCACACTCCCCCTCAAATTGATGCAGAGGCATGAGCATCAGTTTGCTTACAAGAAATAAGTGCCTGGATCTCGTCATGGCCTTTGTGAAGATGTCAGCAACTTGCATATCAGAGGCAACACGAGGGAGAGAGATTGAGTTTGCAAGAAACAGATCATGGATAAAGTGGTAGTCCACCTCAATATGCTTTGTCCTTTCATGAAAGACAGAATTAGAAGCAATTTTATTAGCACTAATGTTATCCGCATATAGAGGAATGGGCGTAGGAGAGGGATGTCCCAACTCCTGAAATAAAGGTTGAAGCCAAACAACTTCACTACAAACAGATGACATTGCCTTGTACTCTGCTTCTGTAGAGGACTTGGAAACAGTCTGTTGTTTCTTGCACTTCCATGATATTAGAGAGTCACCCATGAAGACACACCATCCGGTAGTGGAGCGTCGTGTGTCGGGGCATCCAACCCAATTTGCATCAGCATAGGCTTTCAGTTGGAGAGAAGAAAATGAATAGAAGAAAAGAACCTGTGATAAAGAACCTTGAATATAGCGGATGATTCGATGCACCGCAGTCAAATGAGGTTGACGAGGTGCAGAGACAAACTGACTAACAACCTGAACTATATCTGAGATGTCAGGACGAGTCATGGTCAGATAGATGAGAGATCTTACAAGTTGCCGATAGAGGGAAGCATCAGGAAGCAGGGGGCCTTTTGATTTGGATAATTTGACATTCAACTCCAAGGGAGTATAAACCTGTTTATTATCACTGAGGTTGGCCAACTTAACAAGATCAAAGGCATACTTGTGTTGGCAGACAAAATAACCTCGGGAGCTCCGTTACACTTCAAGTCCCAAGAAATAGTTAAGAAGGCCAAGATCCTTCATGTGGAAGGAACTATGGAGAAGAGACTTGAGGTCCTGGATTCCTTCTATATCATCTCCACTCAATAGTATGTCATCCACATACAGTAAGAGAATGGTAAGGCCCTGGGGTCTTTTTCGAACGAAGAGAGAGTAGTTCGATGCACTTTGGCTATATCCGGCTTGCATGACAGCATCTCTGAATTTTTCAAACCAAGCTCGAGGGGCTTATTTGAGCCCATAGAGGGACTTCTTTAGGCGACAAACGAGGAAGGGATCACTGCAGTACCCTGGAGGAGGTTTCATATATACTGTTTCCTTTAGATGCCCATGTAAAAAGGCATTTTTCACATCTAGTTGAAAGATTGTCCAAGAGTGAGCAGCAAAGAGAGCTAAAAGAACACGGACTGTAGTAATCTTGGCTACTGGAGCAAAAGTCTCTTCATAGTCAATGCCATACTCCTGCTTATATCCTTGTGCCACAAGCCTGGCTTTGTAACGGTCCAGAGACCCATCAGATTTCAGCTTGAAGGAATAGACCCATTTGCTCCCAATAATAGAGCCATCTGAAGGTGCTAGGACAAGGTCCTAAGTGTCATTCTCATGCAAAGCTTGAATCTCTACATCCATGGCTTGTTTCCACTGAGGGCTGCTACTAGCCTGCTGGTATGAGCGGGGAATATCTGTAGAGGTCAAAACAGCAGAGAAGGAGCTATGGTTTGAAGGAAACCCATAGCGGTTAGGTGGTTTGGGATACGTGTAGAACGACGTAAAGGAACAGGAGGAATAATTGAGGAATCTAAAGCTGGAGCATCACTTACAGGGTTATCTGTGATGGGCGAGGGATCCGGACCAGGAGGAAGAGGGGTCATAGGCGTAGGATCTGGACCACAAACCCGCTTGTGAGAGAAGATGAGAAGTTCCTTCTTAGMAGTGGATGATGGTGAATCTTGTTGTTCAAAACTGAAACAGAGGGTGCAAATAACTTGGCAATTCTTGAAAAAAAAGGAGATATGCTCAAGAAATGTGTACGACAAGAGGATGATTATATGTGGGTGCTCACAAATGTGTACGAACCGAATGACTACAAAGAGAGAAAGGAGCTGTGGGAGGAACTGGTTGATGTTAGAGGGTTGTGGGATGGGCCTTGGTGCATGGGTGGGGATTTCAATGTGATTAGATTCTCGGAGGAGTCCAATAAGGTTAACCAGAGGGTGACTAAAAGCATGAGGAACTTTAACATTTTTGTGGATGC